ATTTCAAATTTCAGTATCTTGGCACAAAGTAAAGATATCAAACTTTTTTTTCATTTTGTTCGATTTAAGATAGTTTTATTTAAAAAATATAAAAATATGTAATACATTTTTAGGTTTTTAAATTTTTGTTAATTTTTAAACCAAAAAAGTGCTTTTTGAAAAAGTCGTGTTTTTTTTTCTTCGAAAAATTCTCAAAAAAATAGCCTATCGATATGTTAATTTATTAGACGGGTTCTAGAGTAGGATCTTTTTTATTTCGAATCAATTTTTAATTTTCTTTTTTTTTTGGTATTATTTAATACCCATTTAGAGTAGCTGTCACGATTTTTTTTCAAATTTTTATTTCAACCCATATCAAGAAGTTTGAATATTTTGGGTAGAAAAATTTCAAATTTCAGTAAATTGGGAAAAAATCAAAGATATCAAACATTTTTTTTCATTTTGTTCGTTTTGAGATGTAGTTTTATTCAAAAAAAATATAAAAATATGTAATACATTTTTAGGTTTTAGTTTTTATTAATTTTTAAACAAAAAAATTACTTATAGCCTATCAATATGCAAAATGAGACGGGTTCTAGAGCGGGATCTTTTTTCATTTCGAATAAATTTTTAATTTTCTTTATTTTTTATTTTTTGGTTTTATTTAGTATCCATTTACAATAGCTTTCATGAATTTTTTTCAACCCATCAAGAAGTTATGAACATTTAAATATTTTAGGTACAAAATTTTCAAATTTCACTAAATTGGCAGAAACTAAAGATATCATAAACTTTTTTTTTCATTTTGTTCGTTTTGAGATGTAGTTTTATTACAAAAATATAAAAATAATACGTTTCTAGTTTTTCGAGTTTTTGTTAATTTTTAAACCAAAAAGTGCTTTTTGAGAGTGGCGGTTTTTCTTTCGAAAAAATCGCAAAAAAATAGTCTTTCAATATGAAAATTTATGAGACGGGTTCTAGTCTAAAGTAACATCTTTTTTTATTCCGAATCAATTTTTAATTTTCTTTTTTTTTTGGTATTATTTAGTACCCATTTAGAGTAGCTTTCATGCATTTTTTTATTATTTATTTCAACCCATCAAGACGTTATGAACATTTGAATATTTTGGGTAAAAAAAATTCAAATTTCAGTTAACTTGGCAAAAACTAAAGATATCAAACTTATTTTTTCAATTTGTTCGTTTTGAGATGTAGTTTTATTTAAAAAATATAAAAATATGTAATACATTTTTAGGTTTTTGAATTTTTCAACCAAAAACGTGCTTTTTGAAAGAGCGGCGTTTTTTTTCTTCAAAAAATTCTCAAAAAAATCGCCTTTCAATATGCAAATTTATGAAACGGGTTCTAGAGTGGGATCTTTTTTTACTTCGAATCAATTTTGTTCTTTGTATTTAANAAAACTGAAATAGTAATATTTTTTGGCGGTTGAAAATTATGAAAAAATTCCGCAAGACCAATTCAGGTCTGGAGATTCCGAAAACGTTATCGAATAATAAGTGAAACTTAGATTTGAGCGAGATTTTTTACTCTGCAGCTTCCTTCATCGAATTTTCTATAGATTCAACGATTGTTATGATAAAATACCCTCCTCTACGCGAAGTTCACGACTTTCCGATAGCGGAGAGCTATTCGGATTCGTACACACATCTAGCACACATATCCCTATCTCGAGTGGCTGTCGCGCCGATACGGAGTACATGTTTACGATTTTCGACGCTATATCGAATCGAACCGTATTTGTTTCGATCATACGCCCCGATGAAATGCTTTATGTGCGGGTGATTACAAAATAAAATAAAGTGGAGCGAGTTGGGCAATGCCCACAACACACCGACCACGCCGGTAAGTGCAGCCGCTTTTTGAAATTCGAATAACAAAATTGTGCCCCCAGTGATAAGAGACGAGACAGGGTTCGCGTCAGTGGCCGAAATCAAGCCGGCGACAAAGATGTGAAGTTCTGTTTGCTTTTGTTGATAAACTTATCACAATTTTTATAAAGTGATTATATTAAATATATGTATTATTTGCGATAATAATGAACCATGTGTTTAAGTAACAACTGGCTCTAAAAAAAGTGTAGATCTTTGCAAGTGCTACATTTGTTTCAAACAAGGTTTCTTCCTTTGAGAAAACACCTATTTTTTTAATGTTTTTGTCATTTTTTCCCCAATATTTTACCGAGTGATTTAAGAAAACTAACAGTTCGACCAATTTTTGTTAATTTTTAAACAAAAAAAGTGCTTTTTGAAAGAATATAAGAAATGTCAAATTTCAGTAACTTGGCATAAAGTAATCAAACTTTTTTTTCATTTTGTTCGATTTAAGATGTAGTTTTATTAAAAATATATAAAAATATGTAATACATTTTTAGGTTTTTGAGTTTTGTTTTAATTTTTAAACCAAAAAAGTTCTTTTTGAGAGAATGGCGTTTTTTTTCCTTCGAAAAATTCTCAAAAAAAAAATTGCGTTTCAATATGCAAATTTATGAGACGGGTTCTAGTGTGGGATCTTTTTTTATTTCGAATCAATTTTTAATTTCCTATTTTTTATTTTTTGGTTTTATTTAGTACCTACCCATTTAAAGTAGCTTTCATGATTTTTTTCAAATTTTTATTTCAACCCATCAAAAAGTTATGAACATTTGAATATTTTGAGGAAAAAAAATTCAAATTTCAGTAACTTTGCAAAAACTAAAGATATCAAACTTTTTTTTTTCAATTTGTTCGTTTTGAGATGTAGTTTTATTTAAAAAATATAAAAATATGTAATACATTTTTAGGTTTTTGAATTTTTGTTAATTTTTCAACCAAAAAAGTGCTTTTTGAAAGTGGCGTTTTTTTTCTTCGAAAAATTCTCAAAAAAATCGCCTTTCAATATGCAAATTTATGAAACGTGTTCTAGAGTGGGATCTTTTTTTATTTCGAATCAATTTTTTTCTTTGTATTTAATTTTTTTACAGATAATATATGCTATTAAACTAAACTTTATTATATAAGTAAATCGCGATAACTAATTAGAAAAAATACATGATTTTTAAAACTACTACTAATAATGTCATTAAATATGTAAATTATTATTAATTAAATATTCCGATTTTTTTTTTCAATATTAAAAGATTGTTTTACATAATGCCATAATACTTGTTACATTTTGGTCCATTTGTATATAAGTAGTAAAAACATTTATAATACAGACTGGTTGTTTATAAATGCCCCGAGCTATAACTCTGTTACCCATTTTTGAACACCCTATAAAATACAGGGTGTTTGGTAAGTCGATGCATTCCTTGTAGGAGGTTGTAGTACAAGTGATTTGTGATATATTACCATACCAAATTCCGCAAAGGCTTAGTTTCCGATCTACAGGGTGTTAAAATTTTAATAAAAAAATGCAAATTTAGAAATGTTGCGGAGACCACTCAGAATATTTTAATGAAATTTTACAAGCGTCGACAACCAATACATGTTTTACGATAAAAATATTGTTTTCAGTTTCACCAGTGGCGTGCACACAGGCACGTCTTTAGATATTTTATGGGAAAAAAATGATTCGCCATTGATTTTTCCTAAAATAAAAATTAACAAAGTTTATCTAACAACACCGAATAACATTGATCAGTTGAAAGACAATTCATGAAAGCTACTCTAAATGGGTACTAAATAATATTTAAAAAAAATCAGGAAAATTAAAAATGGTCGTGGTACGATCCCAGTGAATTGACATGGAATGCACCATTTGTTCACTGAATAAAATAGAAAAATTTCATTGTCTGAAATTCATTCATTTAGTAGGTATTATGTTATGAGTTTATTTGAGAAAAAAGATTAAGGCCAATTTTTTTCACCTAGTAAATGTATTAAAAAAAAACATAGGCAAAAGTGTCGGACATAGATTTATATGACAATTAAATTTATTCAACAGTAGAAAAAATTGACCCAAATATACAACAATACTTCAGAGAAAATTTTAAATTTTAAATTAAAAACGATGTACACTTTTCGAAAGCGGCAACCTTGCTTTCAAAACGGAAATATGTATTCTGCGCAATATTTATTAGAAAAATATGATTGCCTTTCTTTGTTAACACCAATAATATTTCATTATATCATAATACACATTTATATTGATATATCTTTTATTGCATTTTTATTTGCCACTGAAAATGTCAACGCTATTCAAATGTTACAACCCATTCGAAAATAAATTTATCAGTCGGTTTAATTAAAATATAATAATACAAATAAAATTCGTTTCCTATTAGTTGCCTCCATCAATATTTTTAGTCATTTGCTCAATTAAAACTACTTTTCTGTTACAAACATCGCTTGCCTTGTCGCGTTAACTTATCTATAAGTACCATTTTCGAAACTCCTAACCGCAACCAATATAAAACCGAAATCGTTAGCGTGGAAATATTAATAATTTTCGCTTCACTAAGTGACTGCTGACATTTGAATACTCATTATATTAACTGTATTACAAAATGGAACAATGTTGCATCTTTATTAAGAAAAATCTGTCTATGAGCGAGAGTAATTGCATGCGTTCTTTTTTTGTGAAAAGAGAAAGAATAATTGCAAAGGAAAATCATTATTGTACAGAAAATGACATAATAATTGAAATTAAATAATTTAATGTGAAAGGTATGATTAAACGCGTAGTAAATACAACGACTGAGATGTAAATGTTTGCAAATAGTACGCCAAAACCACATCGTACAAACAAATTTATTATTAGATCGGTGCCAAAAATCGTACGATACCAAAAAAACTCATTTATTTTGCTGTACAGTCTAAATAGAACTCTGCAACAATCAAGAAAAGTATTACGTAATAACAAACTACCTTTTGAAATTAGTACTGGCGCTATTCTGAACGTATTATTCCTGTTAAAATAAATCAAATCAACATTACAATCATTAAAAATTATTTGCCTCTATTCTACATCAACACCGTTTCCGATAATCGCGAAACAAACACTTTATTCAATTGTCGTTCCAGGTAATGCAACCATGGGTAGAACCACGTCGCTTCAGAGAAAGTCTTATGTAATATTCACGGTTGTTCTACTGATAACGACGGCATGCGTGCTGTTTCAACCCCAAAACGGATACGAGGTCAATCCCTACTTGCCGAGCATCGAGTCCGTGTGGATAGAAAGCGAATTCGACGATATCAGAGACAACGAGGACATCAAGAAGTGGTTAGAACTTCGCAGGACACCTCCTGTAAGTATTATTACCAGTTGCGCACATTGTATTGAGCTCGGTATCAAGTTCTTCGGTGTTATTTTTAGGTTAAAAGTAGTAGTGGCTTTCTATTTAAGTGATCCACTCAAGCAGATCAGTTTGGAGTAAGTAGATCACTTGAATGAAAAGCTGCTTTTGTCACTGTCAACTGACACCATAATAACATTTGAAATACGAATTCAAAAAAAGTTAAGATTTGTGTTTGTTATAAAACTTAATAGCTTGAGCAAATGTATTTGGTGACTAACTGGCCTTGCTTTCAGAAAAACCTCAGTAAATTAGGAAGGATACTGTTCTTAGACGAAGAAGAACCCAACATCCAGACAGGTGATAATAGGTACCAAATTCTGGTGTGGAAATATGGTTCCAAAATAGAAAACAGGCATTTAAAACAATTCTCTGACAAAAAGTATGTACCTATACTTAATTTTTAATTCAAAAACTTACAGAAACTACTGCTAGGTAATTAATAATAAACCTCTGTGTATATGTTTGTACGTCTAAAAGTAATTTAGACTAAACTACCTACTCATCTAAAGCGAGGTAGACGACTTTTTTGCAGTGTTAAAATCAATAGTATAATTCATAAAAGTATATGATCTATAACATAACGGAAATTCCAATTTTTTACATCAACCATTCCCCTTTCACCACTTAAATACAAGAAACATGCCGCACTTAAAGTAGTTATCCTTAAAGTAACAACATTAAATTTAGTACAAGAACATTAAGACGATGTGAAACAATTTTTTGGTATATCGAAGCAGATAAACCAGATATAATTGGTTCAAGATAATAAGGACAAGTTTTTTTTCACAGATCATACATATTAATGTTGTTATTGTTTATGTAAATTTAATCTAGAATATTTTTATCGTTACACGTAAATCGCATTTGATAGAAAAATTGAGTCACATACATCTTGTTCGTTCCTTGTATGAAAATTGAGGTTGGGGGGAGCTACCGTATATAAAAAAAATATGTATGATGTAATAATTTTGCTAAGGCGACTTCTAATTTTCACATTGGACCACCCAAAAATTATTATTATTTTATTATTACTAAATTATTATTATAATTGACCTGTTTCAGCGATTTTTTAAAATCTGAACTGGTAAAAAAATATGAATGTTCCATCATTTTGAGACACACTGTATATTAACATTTGACGAGGTCTCTAATAAACTTAAAGGAGTATAACTTTTGTAGGATGGACCCGTTTAGGCACTGCTCGGTAAAAAACTGTGATATAACATACAGTGACTCTACTTTAAAAACAGCAGATCTAGTCCTTTTCCACCTGCACCGAATGACAGGAATTCAGGACCTTCCAAAAGAAAAGAGAAATCCGAACCAAATTTGGGCTTTCCTTACCGACGAGAGCCCCCACCACACATTTTTAAAACGTAAAGTCAAAATGAATGAGTTCGATGGGGTGTTCAACTGGTCCATGACTTACAGGTTAGTATAATACGTTTCTGGAATAATTGCGTTAAAAAATCCTGTATTTTAGGATGGATTCTGACATCCCAGTACCTTACGGGAGAACGGTATTAAAAAAACAGTCCGAACAAAAGATAATGCTAACTCTGAACAAGAGAAAGGACGTTTTAATAACAATTCTAGGTTCCAACTGTGGGGGAACGAATCATCGCTGGGACTACGTCAAAGAACTGCAAAAGTACATCAAAATCGATATCTATGGCGGTTGTGGACCGTTAAAAACGTAATGCCACCTCAAAAAGTATCACATACGACTTATTTTGTATAATTTTAGGTGTCCTGGACATTTCAGGACTGACTGCCCAGCAGTGGACAAATATCTCTTCTACTTGTCGTTCGAGAACTCAAACTGTGACGAGTACATCACAGAAAAGTTATGGTGGAACGCGTATTACAAGAAATCCATCCCGATAGTCATGGGTGCCGATGTAGAAAACTACAGGAAAATGTTACCGTTGAATTCTTACATAAACGTGGACGATTTCGCTAGCCCCGCTGTGTTAGCCCAGTTTATTTATAGACTAAACGAAACAGGTGAATATAGGGAATATTATAAATGGAAAACGGACTTTGAAGTGTTAAACGAACACGGTTATTTTAAAAGCGAGTCCTTTCATTTCTGTAGGATATGTCAAGCTTTAAACTATAACGATAAAAGTACGAAAGTCTACGAGAAACTAGACGATTTCTGGAGTGTCAAGAAAGATTGCCATCCCGCGTGGAATGCTTAAATCCTTAAGAATTCAGTGCTGGAAATGTATTAATTGTGATATTTTTTATTACTTTGTAAATAGTAAATATCATTCCAAAGATGTATAGGTTAAGTTGTAAATATTATTCATTTAAATAAAAGACTTACCAAGTTTTCCTAGAATGTTTCTTTGACTCCTCAATTAGATACGATCATAAACACAACAACGACACACTAAATGCATAAATAAAACTACAATAAAACAGAAAAAAATCGAAAACCAAACCAAACCAAAAACACAACATAAAATATTCACTGTGATATTAGCCACGCCACAAAAGTGAAAATTCCAAGGGTGCCAACCACACCCACGAACTACTTACAAAGGAGACGTTATCTTCTTCTTCTTCTTTGAAATTTGTCTTGAATTGGAGGTTGACACTGACAGCTGTCACAACTTATTTATAATACACAAAGCATAATACTTTGTGTTATTATCAGTTATTTTATAGCCTTGTTTCGCAATTAGTTTTATTAAACAACTTATAAAAACACGATAGAAATGTTGAAACCAAAGGCGTTAACCCAAGTACTAAGCCAAGCGAACACAGGAGGTGTTGAAACAACTCTGTAAGAAATAAATTAATTTTTCTTACCGCATAAAAAAATTGGTTGCTTATTATAGGTTGCTAAACGCAGAGGGATCTTTATTAGCCTACAGCGGTTACGGAGACAAAGACGCCAGAGTCACCGCAGCCATAGCCAGTAACATATGGACGGCTTACGAAAAAATGGGAAGAAACGCCTTTAGAGAGGACAGACCCCAGATTATACTGATGGAGTGCATGGAAGGACGGATAGCCATTACCCAAGTCGCTAACGTTTTACTTTGTCTGTACGCAAGGAATATTGTAGGATTCGGTATGCTTAAGCAAAAAGCAAACGCGTTGGCGCTGTACTTGGAAGGCCCGTTAAAGCAAGTGGCATCGTCTTAATTACTTTTTAAATCACCTGGTAGATAGGTACTTTTATATTTATAGGATTAGAAATTACTGAATATATTCAAATATATTGCTTTTTCTTATTTTTTTATGGGTTTTTTTTATTCCCATACAATTCGTGTAACGATCAAAAGTACACTCGTAAGACTCGGGTAGCGGTAGTGGGGGAAGCAGCGAGCAGAGGACTCTGGCTCGAATTGAGAGTAATTATTTTTCGAGATATAAAAAAAAACAAAAAATTGTAATAAAGGAAATACATTAAATTTGCTGTAATATTTAAGTGTAAAAACAGCCTCTTTTTTCCCTCTATTGTTTGGCCTACAAATAGTACAGTCATTGAAGCTGAAAATCAGCTGTAACCTCCGAATTCTTTAAAACTGCATGGATTTACATGAACATTTAGAATAAGGCTCATCTTAGGCTCAAGTTCAAAAGTGACATAAGCCCGATTGAAACTTTTTGTTTTTTAGGGGTAAAAACTACCTCTAAGTGAAAAAAATTGAAAAAATTAAGTTTTAAGCATTTTATTGATAAAAATCTTGTTCAAGCACAAAAATTCAATAATGTTTCATGTGCTCGAACATGTTTTATGATATATTTTATCTTTTCGACCCTTTATTTAATCCTTAAAAACTATCCCTGTGCAAAAAATAATGATAAAACATTACTTTTTAAAGATTTGGAATGATTAAATCGTGCAATTATTTAAAATAAAGGTTTCCTTATAGCTAATAAAAGAATTTTTCCCTTTCAATCCCTAAAAACCACCCCTGTATTGACAAAAATGATAAAAATAACTTTTTAAAAGCTTGGAATGCTTTAACGGTGCAATTGTTTAAAATAAAAATTCCCTAATTGCTTATGAAAGAATTTGTATCTCATAACACTTTTCAACCCTTATAATCACCCCTGTGCTAAAAAATTATAAAAAATTACGTTCTAAATCTTGGAATGCTATAATTGTGCAAAAATTTAAAATAAAAATTCCCTTATATTGTTTATGAAAGAATATTTTACTTTTGCCANAGCAAAAAGCAAACGCGTTGGCGCTGTACTTGGAAGGCCCGTTAAAGCAAGTGGCATCGTCTTAATTACTTTTTAAATCACCTGGTAGATAGGTACTTTTATATTTATAGGATTAGAAATTACTGAATATATTCAAATATATTGCTTTTTCTTATTTTATGGGTTTTTTTTATTCCCATACAATTCGTGTAACGATCAAAAGTACACTCGTAAGACTCGGGTAGCGGTAGTGGGGGAAGCAATGCAAAAAATAATGATAAAAAATTACTTTTTATAGATTTGGAATTATTAAACCGTGCAATTATTTAAAATAAAAGTTACCTTATAGCTAATAAAATAATTTTTCCTTTTCAACCCCTAAAAACCACCTCTGTATTGACAAAAATGATAAAAAATTACTTTTTAAAAGCTTGGAATGCTTTAACGGTGCAATTGTTTAAAATAAAAATTCCCTGATTGCTTACGAAAGAATTCGAATCTCATAACACTTTTCAACCCTTATAATCACCCCTGTGCTAAAAAAATGATAAAAGATTACGTTTTAAATCTTGGAATGCTATAATTGTGCAAAAATTTAAAATAAAAATTCCCTTATATTGTTTATGAAAGAATATTTTACTTTTGCCATTTTCAACCCTTATAAACTACCCTTTTTCCAATATTAATGTAAAATATTTTCATTATAATCGATTCAGTTTTTGACGATAACTCCTTCAATTTTGCTCTAATTAACTTTTATAAGTGCTCATTTTGAAGGTGTTTTTGAGTGCTATAAAAAACTCCAGGAGCGTTATACCCGTAAAATTAATCCTTTTTCTGTTATTTGACGTTGAATACATCGATTCGAGTATTCCCCCCAAAACAAGTCCCCTTCCACTAACCATATTTCGCTTTGTATAGGACATACAACACTTTTTAAAAAACGATTTTCTTTGTTTATTTATTAGCTACATATTTGTTTATTACACTTTTTTAAATAAAATGCGTACTTTTTGAGTTATTCACGAAAAATACTTTGAAAAACTGTTTTTTTTTCACTCAAAATTTTTCAATCGTGAATAACTAAAAAACTATTGATTTCTCAAAAAAATTCTTCGAATATATTTTGCTCAAAATTTGAATCTCGATTTCCCGCGTTGTTTTTGAAAAAAAAATTTCCACCCCCAAAAAGGGGTGTCAACCCCCAACAGGATAGAAGCGTCAATCTACACTATGTCACTAATGTTCATTGACCTTTTCTCTAACTATCTGTCAAATTTCAAGTTGATCGGTGCAGTTTCAAAGAATTCAGAGGTGAAAAGCTTCAATGACTGTACTAAAAGAGAGACAGACTAGTGTAATCTGGACGAGAGAAACGTAGGCTACAGTGTCTTTGAACAGGGTTACCTCGTTTAATTGAACCCCCTTAAGGTAAGTCGTTTAACCTCTAATTACAAACGGATGGATCGGAGAAATTGTACCTAGGAATAAAACAATATTTTTCAATAATTGCACAACTTTATTATTACAAACAAATTTTAAAAATACAAAAGTTGACAATCCATACGAGGACATTGTCTGCCTAACTATACAGGAGCATTTCTTAAATACGTAGGACCAAAATCATAGTAAAAAAAAGCAAAAATATCGGCAATCAAACTGCTTCAAGAAATTATGATACATCTAAAATTTTAAGGAAAAGTCTTTGTCAATTTAACACTACATTATTCCATCACATCGAGATGTATATAAAAGTGTTTACATCAATTTCTAACACACGATCCGTACCGCTAGCCCATAGAAATGTCTTTTTAAAGATCGAAATGATAGATATATCATAAACAGTGTCACATTTTTCATGAAAGTCTTACGAAGTTCTCTCCGTAATAAAGATAGGACACACAGAAAACGGAATAGCAGCAGTATGTACAGTTTCCTTAGAATTTACAAATATTTTATAATATTTTTTTTGTATTGCAAATTCTGTCGAGAAACAATGAAAAAAGTAATCAAACTGAGTAATCTTCTTTACTGCATTTTTCTAAGTAAATCAAACGGGAAGACAGTCATAACTAATAAACAAAGCGTAAGGTGTCAGGAGCAGCAATTTTTAGATGTTCGTAAGGTTCGGATTTAATTTTGGTAACACCGAAACAAGTTCGATCAAAAAATACCCGACGAGTATTTACAAGGAAAGCAGGCCGATCGTGAAAGCGAGAGTTTTCCCTATTACCATCCACTTAATAAGAATTATACCTTCATACATTGTAACACGTAGCAAATTTTCCTACAAATTCAACTGAAAGAATTGGCAGTCAATTTAAATAGATTCAATTTTTTTTTTTTCTTCATCGTCAGGAATATCGTCCTGAGCATGAAAACAAAATGTTTACAGCATAAGTAAAAATTTCAAATGCTCTTCAAACCGTTAAAATAAAACCAAATCATTTCTAGCGGCAGCTGGAAACAATTTTGACGTAACTAAAAAAAATCACCGCTGCGCTGCCGGTATTTTAGATTTGTTCTAAATATTACAAAATATGAGGAACACATTTGAGAAGAAACTTTTTCTCACTCGGCAATCGCCGAAATATTTATACACGAATGATTTAAGAAAGATATCCATGCTATTAAATCAAATTTTATTTATGTACATATCAACCCTGTGTTTTTAGCCTAAATAATACAAAATATCCTTCAAAACATACTTTTCTCGTAACAATGCAATATTACTTACTCAAAAAATTGTCTAATAAGCTCTTTATCAAATAAATATCGCGTATATCAAAAATGTTATAAAATCGTAAAGTAATATCAATGACTTTTTGACAAAAACGTGCTCGTTATTATTCAAATACCTTTAAAAAAAAACATTACGAAAGAAATCAAATAAAAAAAGTATCGATACATTTCATCGTGTCAAAAACCACTAAATTAGTCGTCAAGCGGCTCACCAACTAATTTTATTGCTAAAATATTAACTCCAGAGGGAAAAATAAACTGAATTGATTATTTCAAGGGCTACCTAGTTCCTATTCCTTGCAAATGCAAGAATAATCCAATACATTTCCAAACGGGAGTTTCCCTACACACTGTCTACAAAAATTCTATAAAAAAAAACGGAAATATCTTACCACACAAACGCTTCCGAGAAACAATTTTACAAAATGATTGAGTCCGCTAACGACACACGTTACATCCCTCGTTTCGAACAAAAAAAACTAAAATCAACGATGAATCTGTCTGTCGATCAAAACCGCTCCACACTAAACGCTTCCCTCTTTTACATTCTAGAACCTTTATGCTGCAGAATCTTCGCCCTATCTTCCCTTTCCCCCCTCACTTCCGTGCTTTCCGGGGCTCCACATTCTCGACTGACCACACAGAGAAATTCTGCATGTTCGTCGGCACCGTAATTGTATTGTGATCCGATATTTACCAGTTGCTCGAATTTCCAACCATCTGACATGGTTGAAACCATCTAAAAATAAATATGAAACTAAGTTACGCTACTACACACTGAATATAAAAACATATATTACCTGTGTTAATTCATCTTCATGACATTGTAAAACTCTATAAACATGTTTTTTGCCGTCTTTGCTAGGCCGATTGTCTCTGTGACAAATCCTTTCCTTAACTAGCGTTATAAGTTCTGCAATATTGTAAAATTCAGCCTCTTCCAATACACCTTCTTCAGCTAATCCCTTATTTAAGACTAGTTTGCCATGCCTAAGGAAATTTAACACTGGCGAGAAGTAGTTCGGGTCCCTGTCTATTAAATACGCCCCCGTTTCATCCTGGAAAATAATTCTATCAGAGATCTGTCCATTTCTAGAAATACGGAAGTGAGTAATGTAGGTGGAAGCTTCTTACTTTATCTGATATTAAATCACTATCTTCTTGAATCAGTCTGTATAAAAATGAGTTAGGGTCTCTTGCCAAGGTAGTTTTCGTCGTTAGAAAATATGTACCACCTACGTTTAACTTAACCCATTGTTTATTTCCGTTTTTTGAAATTGTTTGTTTATTGTCATCAGAATCCATGACGTGATCCGCCATGTTTACAGACGACGTCTTCTTCTGCTTCTGTGGCATGTGACAAGTGGCTTAGTTGCTTTCTGCTTCCTCGGTCCGTTCCAATTAGATAATTTCACCAAGTTTATTCGGATGAACGAACAATTCCGAGGTCCAAATAACATTACACAAATCAGTACGGACATAGAAGACGTTTGCCGATAACAATTTTTTTGTAAACGGCTCCCAAAATACTTTTTTAGAACATGGCGTAGTTTACTTGCATTTGTTAAATAATTAGAGCATACACTACATGGAGGAAGCAGCGTGTGTTAAAAAATGTAGACGCTGCAGAGAGAAAGGGCGATAGTTTGAGTATTTGCTCCCTCTGCCTAATCGTTGAGTAAGGAGTTGGGTTAGCCAATCACATGCCTGCACGAGAGAGAGAGAGAACTCAAACTTTCTCTTTCTCTGTCTCTCTGTCACTGGTCTACAATGTCGCCGTAAGCGTGCTTGCGTAGTGGAGTAGTATGCTCTAAGGATGCGCTTTCTGTTGTTCGTGAATTCGCTATGAACATTATTAACTTACTGTTGCACTAAATGTATTAGTAACGTAGTTTTCAATTTTAATTTGAAAAAGTAGTAGCTGTACAGCTACTACATAAAATATATAGATACATATTTTACATGGCATGTACTAAGAAAAAAATTAAAAAATTTCGTCCTTGGGGCATGTACTAGTGGAGGTAGCATGCCATTGCGAATAGTGTGGCTAAATATGCGAGAGAAAGAGCAAAGACTGAGATATTGTCTGTCTCTCTCGCACACTCAGCCACACTTTTATCATGCTACCTCCAGTCACGGTCCGTAAAGAGGAAGGAATAAAAGGAAAGGAAGAAGGAGAAGAAAAGTTAATCGCACAGATCTTTTGACATAACATATTTAATTTTAAGAAAAATTATCAAGTTTACAAAAATATTAAAATTACATTTCGATAGATACTTAAAATTTCCAATCGCTTTTCTAACAATCAGATCAATTTGTTATACAACAATAACAATAAATTTAGTTCTTTTGAAGTGAATACAATCAGTTAAATTAGAAATTTTACATTTAACCTGTTTTCTTTAAGTCTTTTTCTTGATGATATACTTGATAGCTCTGCTTGAAGATCGCGTTCAAAGTTTGAGTCTTCAAAATGTGTACTACAAATATGTCCAGTTATATGATTAAACAAATCGCGTCTTTTGCACCGTTCCACCCATATCATTCTAAAGTTTTTATCCTTAGGAAACTATAAAAATTATTAATGCAAATTGCAATACTACACCTCACTCCTGGCATTTTTACGTGGTAAATTAATGGTTTATATTAAACACTACACCAACAACTTATTAAAACCTATTATCAATAACTAACTAATTACTGCAAAATACCCAAACAACTATGAAAGATTTACTTAAATACTTGGAAAAATGCAAAATTACTAGTTAAGTC